TATATATATATATATATATATATATATATATATAGGGACTCTCTACACTCACCCTTCTTTTCTCTTGCCTTTTACCAATATTTACGCCGCGCATAGTCAGCGCATGCGCGGTTCTGTCAGCGTTGATTGCACTTATTCGCTCTCCGCCCTTGCCTACCTTCACTGCTTTCGTGTTCACGTACACACTCTATCAGCGTTTCATGCGACCACTGAATGGTTACTGAGTCTGTCACTCGCCCGCTATCCTTCATTACATTGCTTATTCTGCTTCGAGTCCCCACTTTAACGAAGCGTTTGGTCGTTTCACAATAAGAAATCCGAAATGTTCGAAATAAGATTAGGAAAGCCGAAGGTTAGAACCAATCGCGCTCGTAGATGAACAGGTCTATAGTAGAGCTGATTAGCACATAGATTGCTCAAATTGTGACGAAGGCACTAAATATGGCACACAGGCTCTGAGAGATGCCAATTTAAATAAGAGGTGGACTTCAACGAAACCGACCCTTTAAAGGACCTTCATTACACCATGATTCATTGCTGTTCTTCGTTTTCCAGTGATCAATGTGTTTGGGCATCTCTTACAGAAACACAACAATGTTGTTATTAGTCAAATTTCTTTAACTCTTTCCCATCTTTCTTGTCACGTAATATACGTTGACGTTTGTGTCGCAAAACTTATATGATCCAATCTATCGTTTATTAGTCAATAACTAGAGTTTATTAGTTGCCGCATGAGATGGAAGCACTCTAAGACAACGGTAATCTATTATATTTCTCTACTGCTAACGCTTTAACGGAATCCCAATTTTGTATTAGTTATTGTAATTTTACAGTTTATATGACTAGGTTTTTAAAATATCGATCAGGCATGACCGATGGAGGAATATGGAAGGTAAGATAGTTAGAGAGCAGTGTAACAAAATAAATTGAATAGCGATTGTTTGTATACCAATTATTATTGTTATTATTATTATAATATATATATATATATATATACATATATATGATTATATTAATGTTTGGAATTGCATATATGTAAAGGTGTATTTGCTCTTAAATATGATGTATCTCATAACATAACGAACGATAAACCACAATTCAGAGTCTATTATAATTGAAATTTTAATTGAATCAAGCATTTAAAAAGATCAGTCGGTAATTTTCTGTACGCCTAATTTAACGCGGGGTCTGCTGTCGTTCTCTGACAGCCCGGCCTTGGAACGAAGTTTCTTAATTAAGACCCGTGTGAGTTTATCTTCGCTGCGACGCGATTCGAACTGACGCGATAAGAGAATCTCATCAAATACCAGCTAATCAAAGAGTGCTCGGTGTGGGGTAGGGGGAGCTCATGCTCCTAGGGGACTAGCGAGGATGTCGAATTTATTATCATTCGCGACACATCCCACGCGATGTAAATTTTATTCTAGTTCCTTCTTCTCTAGTCCACGATATACAGTATAACACGCCATCAGTGTGGATAGGGAAATACGCCCACGCGAAGCACCTACAGTTTGTACTTGTTGTGCTCTAATTGTGCAATACGCACTTAATTGTATAATATGATCGTACATGCACACGTATAGTACAGTATTTGTAGCAATGTACTGACTGATGTCTTTGTTTTCTGCAGTCCAACGTGGACGGAGAAGGATCTAGAGGTAGGACAGCGATCTTGTTCGTGTTTCTGACATTAGTGTTGAAATTCTGCTACATGCACATGCCTGTCATGTTCAGTATGATCACGTACTGATACGATAAAATGTTACAAATAACGTAACAATATACGTGATTGCGCGTAACTTGTCATTCTAGCAACACCCCACTACACGACTCTGGTTGTGAATGAAGAGTATATGTTTACATATCGGGGCAATTATGGTCTATAAATTCTAGAGTTGGGTTCATGATTAACTATGATGCATAAAGTTAACATTAGGGCGATGCACCGAACCTCGATGTGGGTTTAAATTCGATTGAGTACATACTCAGGACTAATGCTTGGTTACCAACTCCGAAATCTAATCGTCTATAGAGTGCTAGCTCTCGTGGGTGGTGTTTAATGGCTCATCTTTAATGTTGCTCTCGCAACTCCGTCGTGAAGGCCTGCTCGCCAGAATGCACGTTATGTCGCTGTAGTGATCAGTATAGAACCACAGAAACACAGTTTGCGATTCACGTTTAGTGGCGAGGAAACGAAAATGGCGGAATCACACACGCGCGCACGCACACGCGTACGCGCGCGCACGCACGCACGCACGCACACACACACACACACGCGCATATACACACACACACACACACACACACACACACACACACACACATATATATATATCCAGTGCCACTACCCCGTGCGGGTTCGATAAGCTTAATTATCACTTTATATGCTAATGAGCTAGAAAGTTAGTGATCAACTCGTTAGAAAGTTAGACATAACTATAATAAATACAAAAAATATATAAATTGCATTAACAATCCCTAATACAGTTGAACGAATTTAACGCGTAACACTATTTCTATAACGAGGCGCATATTATTATCGAAATATTTTAGTTATTATGTCGATGTGCGTGACGTCAAATGAAGCCATCGGTTCGATAAAAAATGAAGCTGAAACCTATTGCCTCGTTACTTTTACTGTCCGTCTTAGACGTTAGGCTCGCCAGGCGCACAAAGAATCCATTAACACAGACATCAGTCGCGTGTTGACAAATGTCAGACAGTCTCTCTTCCTGTACGTGTCTTGATTGAGAGTTTTTAGGGGAGTTATATCAGCTATAGGCAGCTTTGATGAGAGTGTATTGATTACTGTTACTGGTGGGTTGGTAGGTTGAGGATCGAGTAACTTTCTGCTTTCGCAAGGAAAGACATGCTGTCGTACGTTACCACGATTACTACTATTACTACTACTACTACTACTACTACTACTACTACTACTACTACTACTACTACTACTACTACTACTAATAATAATAATAATAATAATAATAATAATAATAATAATAATATTAGTAATAATAATAATAATAACAATATTTAAAACGCTACCGGCATTGGATGCTACGTTTCACGCATCGAAAATCCTTCAGTAACGAGCGGATATACGTGGATAGATGACGTCAGTAACGAGCGGATATACGTGGATAGATGACGTCAGTAACGAGCGGATATACGTGGATAGATGACGTCAGTAACGAGCGGATATACGTGGATAGATGACGTCAGTAACGAGCGGATATACGTGGATAGATGA